CAATGGGCAATTGTCAAGTTGGGGCCCCTCTCGTTTGAGTTTTCTTCCTTTTATAGTAAGTAGCAGTTGCTCCAGCAGCTGGCCTGCCCCTCTGGGGTGAGGGCAAGGCTCCGTATATAAGGGAAGGAGCAGACATTGCCTTTCATCCCTCCGTTTGGTTGCTTCGCCAGGCAGCAGGACTCATCCCTGCACCTTTGCAAAGACCCAGCGCGATGCCACTCAAGAAGCCGGACCCGAAGAAGGAAGCAGCCAAACCGGCTCCGGCCGCAGAGCCACCCAGAGAGCCTGCCTTCGATCCCAGGAGTGTGAAGGTGAGTGAGGAACAAAGATGTCAGTGTCTGTCTTCGTGCCTGTCATCTGCCGGGCACGGGCAACGCGATGTGCCATGCAAACAGCGTTAGCCAGGCTGAGAGCCAGGGTTGGGAGGGGAGAATTGTCAGATTGCACTGATGCAGCGGGCTGGGAGGGATGCTCTCCTTGCCGGGGGGGGAGATGTTTCAATCTTCCCCCATCCAGCCCTGCACAGCACCCAAGGAAACTGCTCTGCACTGGGACGCTGCTGCCCAGAGCTCCGGCTGCGGAGTCAAATGCCTCCCAGCTCCCGGCTGAGACGCCGTGTCGGGGCCCCGGCGGCATTTAAAATCTTTTCTGCCACCCACTGTCTCCTAAATCCTAAAATCCTAAAGTGTTTTGCTGCCTGTGTTGTCTCCTCCACATCAGAGCATCTTTTATCCAAGTCTCTACAACAGGAGCTCACTTTTTCCATGATTCCCCAGGATATAGTTACATTTTTAAGCCAGAGCTGTGGCTGGAGAGTTGTTAATAGCAGGCTCAGCACAGAGGCTGTTTAATCACTTGAACTAGGGATCAAGCCTTGGAATAACATCCTTTCCACCCGAGACAGCCCTGGCCGTGGTCCAAGCATCCCTGCTGTCCGCCCAGCCCTTGCCCGCCGGGCTGCTGCCGGCTGCGCCCTCCGCAGGGATCTCAGCTCCGCAGCGAGGGCAGGAGCGCTCCTGGGCACGGCACGGCCGGACACAGCATGGACGCGGCCCCTCGCCTCGAGCAGGCTGTGGGGCTGGGGAGGCCGAGGTGCAAACGCAGGGGAGAGCCCCTTGGTCACCCCCGGCAGTAGCACAGCCCTCATGCCCGGCTCTGTTCTCTTCTCCTGACAGATTGAATTCACCGCAGAGCAGATCGAAGGTAAGTGCAGACGTCACCTTCTCCCAGAGATGGCATTAGACACGGGGAGAGCTTTTTCCAGGTAGTTTTTCACAGCAGACATGAGAGCCGAGGCCCCACACTTCACATCCCCTCCTGGGATCCCTCCAGCAGGGTCTGGGCACCCCATTCCCCCCACCACGCTGCTCATCCTCCAGGATGGGCTCGGGAGGTTTCCTGGCAGGTAGAGGGGACACATGAAATCAGAAAGTCACGTCCCCGACCAGCATCAAGCCAGCAAGGAGATGAGGAAGAGTGCTGGTGGGAAGGGAGGGGAGGCAGGAGATGGAGACAGGAGCGATGCCGGAGGGGAGCGGGAGACAGCGCAGGGGTTTAGCTGAGACTGCAACACCGGGCTGTCGGCAGCGATGAATGGATCCTGGCTCCTTGCTCTGCGCTGAGGGTGCCCCAGTCGAAGGGGATAATCTCCAGTTCAGAGCCTGGCAGGGAAAAGGTATTTTTCCATTCATGGTGAGAGATGCAGCCTGGTTCAAAGCCTGGGATTCGTGTGGGAGGAGCAGCCTCTGGCGATGCAGGGACAGCCCCTTACCAAGGGGTTAAGCTGGACTTCAGCTTTCTCATCTCTCCACAGGCATTTTTAATGCTTCTGTACAGCCTAGGGAAGGGGCAGGGTCTGAGGGCAGAGCCTGGTGGGAACAAGCGGAGGAGGAGACTTGGTCTGGGGGCCAAGTCCTGCAGGCTTGGCTCCCTGACCAGCTTTTGAATGGAGAAAAGAGAGCCGGTAGAAATGTGAGCGAGTTAAAATGCGAAGACATTTGTATTTAACCTGCAGCGATGTTCCAAAGCGCAAGACACGCCAGGTGGTGGGGAGTGGACATCACCGAGCACCCTCGTAGCGGTGCCCCGAGCCGGGGACTCGCAGGCAGTGATGTCCCTCTCTGGGTCCTCCAGAGCCTGGTGGAGGGATCTCACCTGCCGAGATGGAGCCGTCGTGAGGTCAAGCGGGAAAGCAGCAGCACCCCGAGGGGCTGGGGGGGACCCTGGACAGGACTGCTGGGACACAGCATGGACGTCATGGGGACAGGTCCAGGGGATGGGGAGGCTTAGCAGAAAAATACAAAGGTGTCAAGTTGAAAATGGAGCAAATCCAAAGCCCTGGGCAAGGCTTCCCACCAAACGCAAGGCAATGCCTACCAGCCCATGACATCTCCATCGCCGCATGGAGCCCACGGTTGTTTCATCCCATACAACAGTAGGAAGAGCAGCAGCTCTGCTTTGAGCGACCTATTGCTGGACATCATGAAGAAAGTGGACCAGGACCTGGAATTCATGAGCACCGCAGCCAAGAAACTCGCAGCTCTGAGCATTCATGTGGACAGGCTGGGAAGGCCGATCACCCGCTTGGGCCAGTCAGCGGCTCCACTGGGCTCGCTGACCTGGAGGCAGCAGGATGAAATCCAGAAGCGTGTGGAGCATTTGCTGCAGGAAAACCAAGATCTCGCTGCCTGTGGGGCGCGGGACACCAGTGAGGAGCCTCTTGTAGTGGAGATCTTCTGGATTGAAATGAGAGGCAGAGACCAGGCTCTGAGCAGTGCAGAGCGTGGTTGTCCATGTAGCTAACATTGGGATTAAAGAGAGAATCCAGCAGCAGGTCAGGAAGCTGAAAAGCATCACACATAGAAGGAAAGAGATCCTTAAGTGCTCCTAATTTAGGCATCCTCCCTCCAGGTAAAATGTAATGCTTAATGGCATGATAATTTACGGGAGCAAGCTTGGAAATGAATCTCTCATCCTTCCAAGTAGGGTCGGCATGACGTGGGCTGCAAGGCTGGGGTGGACACAGTCACCATTCCCCTGCCTGGCTGGGGCTGGGGGGATGCCAGCAGAGCGGACGGGGTGTTGCAGGTGCCATGGGAGTGCAGTGGGACCATCACGGGGTCCTCGGGAGGCCCGGGTCAAAAAGGGGAAGAGCAAAGGGGATGTTCTGCAGCAGAAACAGCAGCCTGCACCTGCAGCCGGTGCTGCCAGCGCAAGGTGGTGCAGGAATCCCAGCAGGATTCGTCCAGCCAGCTCTGCACGGGTGGCAAAACCTGCTCAAGCAGCTGAGCGACTCGCTGAAGGAGTCTGGCAAGCTTTGGTGGCTCCTTGCTCACGCTAGCGCAGGGCTGGCTGCCCTGGGCAGCAGCGATGGGTGCAGAGGACACTCACCACGCACATGTCCATCCCTTTCCCTGCCTGCCAGGCAGGACTCGCTCCCGGGGGGGTGGGAGATGGGGCCAGTGTGGCAGAGGACATCCAAGCTCTTCTTCCCCGCAGAGTTCAGAGAAGCCTTCAGCCTGTTTGACCGGACGCCTACAGGAGCCATGCAGATCACCTACGCGCAATGCGGGGACGTCCTACGGGCGCTTGGCCACAACCCCACCAACGCAGACATCCTGAAGGTGCTGGGCAAGCCCAAACCAGAAGGTGACAGCAAACTGGGGCAGCGGGGACAGGGTAGGACAAGCCA